CTTACTGGGATTATTTTCCACAAAATGACAGTGTGATCCTCGTATTGTTATATTATTATTGCGCCAAGTAAATTCCTGTATATAGGGACAATGATCGGCCAATGACACGGATCCTCCATAGAAAACTTCATCGCCATCTTTATATGTTAATACTATCGAAATTCTGTAAAAGTGAAACAAGGGATTTAGTCCTAGTTTTTGTACAAAATATTATCGACCTATCTATCTATCTATCTCTCTATCTATCGAGCGTATCTATCGATCAGCGAGCGATCGAGCTAGATCGAGCGAGCGAGCGATCGAGCGAGAGAGCGAGGAGCGAGGAGCGAGCGAGCGAGCTAGGAGCGAGCGAGCGAGCGAGCGAGCTAGCGAGCGATCGAGGAGAGCGAGCGAGCGATCTAGCGATCGAGCGAGCAGCGAGCGACTGCTATCTATCTATAGATCTATTCTATCTATCTATCTATCTATCTATCTATCTATCTATCTATCTATCTATCGATCTATCTATTATCTATCTATCATCTATCTATCTATCTATCTATCTAAAACACATAATGTTTTAACAAATGTTGGCAATATGATTAAAATAGTTTGCACCACATATGCTCGCCAAAATCGGTACAAACCTGGTACTGTTCCGGTAACCTATATTCATGTCTAATTAAATTGCACAACGCCACGGAATTGCGATCATCAGTACATTCAGTTTGAAGAGGATCTTGTTTCACCTTGGAGCAAAAGGATGTATAGAGCGGCCCCTAGAAAAGAAAAATTAAGATTTAAACTGAAAGTTGACAAATACTAAACTAAAAACTCACTTGGCATTATTCAATTGTATCCAATCTTTACAGCTGCGCATAACAAAATTACAGCCCAAACCACGACCCCAAGATAAAGGACTGGCCATACTATAATTAGCTCGATACCAGCCCGAGTCTTCCATTAAAGCTAATGTGATGCGTGAAAATACAGGTGATTGAGTATGGGTTCCAGTCATGGCCTCATTCTAAAAAATAAATCATAATTTTACTACATTTTACAAAAATATATTTACATTCGAAACCACACCTCTAAAATACGTTTCTCCCAGTGAGTTAAAGCAGTACCCTCACCTCCCTGATCTTCTAACTCGGCACCCTCCAATAGATCACAATTAAAATGTTTGCGTACTTCTTGCACTACCCTGGGAGTCACCATCATATCGATTTCTTTGCGCACATGACCATTGCGTACCGACCAGTTATCTCTAACCACTTTGCGTATGGTGTCATTACTCCACTGATGTATTTGTAGGCTAAAAGGTACAAAATTGAATCAATATTTATTGAAATTTATTAAAAGAGAACCAACTTACATTTCATTTAAATGTGGTTTACCCGTATCCGGTATTCTCGGTGTTCTTGGCTTACCCTCATCATCTCGAAAGAAAGCAAATAGACTCACGGAGAAACCCAAAGCATGTAAGATCTCATGCTTAACGGTTGATATCAGTGTTTGCAGTTCCTGAGGTTTTGTGCTTATACTATTGGGACACAAATTAGCATGACCCGCTATGGGACGATCTAAAGTAGCCTCTTGTTGACAATGAGCAGCATAAGCCACTGTCAGACCCTTGTGACAACGTTCCGTCTGTCTTGCTGAGACATAAAAAGACGAAATCAGCCTCTTCTATACCCTCACCGGCTTGAGTTGATTCCTCCACCCGACAATTTTGTCCAGTGGCATTACAAATTCGACACACCTTTATTTTTTTAAAGAGAACCCAATTATTGTTTACTTACATTTTAATAAATGTGAAAAATTGAACTTACATCCAAATGTTCTTCGGGCACCTCCACCTCACCACACATGGTTATCGATTTACAATTATCTATACAATGTGTTAAGCCATTTTTAACAAAAACCTTAGTACTGTTGCATTTCCTATTGTTAAATTTAAGGCGTAAAATTATAAGTTTAAAGTAAAAGTAATGCGATTATAAATCAAGGAAAAATTAATTTCAAGGAAAATATATTTATTTAAATTCTGCTTATACATATTGTAATACCTGTTAAGCCTTATGGGACCTTTAGTTTGTCGCACCATTAATGCTTGCTCCCAAAATTGTATTGCCTCCGGTAGTACAGTATCCTTTTGGGTTGTGAAAGGGTAGTGGGTGAAGAAATAAGAAAATGTATTAATAAATGCATAATAGTATTAAAAGGTTTAAAGTTATCAAGTGTGCGTGTGTGTGTGTGTGTGATTTTATCAAGAATTTCATGGAGAATGTAATTATTTCTTTATATTAACATTAAAGATTTATGTACATAAATACAGTGGGAATCAATCAAGGTGTTTGTTTGTTTGGCTTAGTGGTTGATTTTCATTATCAATTTTAACACAGATAAATTTTGATATTTAATTTATTTTGGCTATTGTGTTTGTTTATTGGATTTAGTGAAAATACGGTGATTTTTTTTTCAAGAAATTACCACAAAATTGAGGGTGCCGTAATATATTAATTATTTTAACATGGTTTCTGGTTTTCCCATATACAGTTTAGTTTAAGTATATATTATTTTAATATAGAAGTTAGTTTGTTAAGATTCCTTAAAATTCTACAAGATACTGACAAAGTAGTACTTAATTCTCGTTTCGACTATTACCAATGGCTGGTAATATTAGCCAATGTAACCACTTCTTTTAAGTCTTTAAGCAACTTAAAAAATAATAGACTCTGGAAGTTTTAAAGAATGCTTCTGTCCAGAGAGATTTGAAACAATGTGCAAATTTAGAAAAATCACTGAAATTTTACAAAGATAACATCTGAGGAAAGCGTTAAAACGGACTTTGACATTAATTGGAAGACTGGTTTTGAAATATTTGTAGTGACTTCCAAAAAAAGCAGATTTTACTATGTTAGTTACGTTTTTTTAGAGATTTTGAAATCCTATAAAATATTAATGAAATCTCAGACAATGTAAGCCAATTCAAGAGAATAAGCGTGCCGACAAGATCGAGCGATTTCATAATTATACTTTCTTTAGGTCTCAAAAACAACATCCGACTAAAAGACGATAAGTGTTAAAAAGGTCTCTAAGAGTATGAAGACTAATTTCACGATTTGCAAATATAGTACGATAATAAGCGTTTAAACGGACTCGCAGAGAATACATGATACGAGTAGAAGGACACGTTTTTATAATTTACCGAATTGAAAAATCTTCCTTTTTTGGATTAATACAATTGACAAGAAAGCGAGATTAAAAAGTAAATAGGCTTTCAGGGAATAAATAGTCTTTCAGAGAATGTAAAGACTAGATATGACAGTTTGCAATGAATTAATCAATTTATTGGAAAGTTTTAAAATTAAACACAGTTATTTGAAGCCTCTAACCTCTCCGAGGGCGTGTTACCTTGATGAAAGTCCCTCATCTTGGTGTTATTGCAATCCCGGGGAAAAGAGGTGCTGCCAGTACTTCTAGTCTGCCGGGACTTGGAATGATTTGACATGGGGTCGAACCAGATAACAACATAATCCGATAGCCCATAGTTCAGATTTTGTCTTGTCCCGGTTATTGGCTGATGCACGGTAAGGTCTGTAATTCGGAACTGCTGCTGAGACAGCCTGCAGAGGAGTGGGATTAAGCGTTGAAAATGAGTTGGAATTAAGTGTATATAATACAGGATGCATACGGACCTTACCCTCCCGTATATTTAGACTGATTGTGTCGGATATTTTCCTCAATGAGTGTGTCGGATGAATGACAAGTGTATGGGTTGAATGGTGATGGTTCTAAGGTATCTTATACAAGTGATACCATTGAATTTCCCATCCTTGTCCGGGTATGTTCAGGGTTTACTCTATTCATACCAGATTTAACAACGTGTGTTCTCTGTGAGTAAGAACAAGTCCTCGACTTATTTGATGAATTTGTATTATGGTCTACCGATTACTTCTCTGCTGTTGCCGACTCAACAGAGGACATCCCATCTGTGTGGTAGTTAACGGAAGTGAAGTTATTGATTCTTGAAAGTTAAGCAACGGGGCAGCAATGGTCAGAGATTAGATAGCTCGAGTACATGAGCAATGTGCTTGCACATGGACCGGCAGAACCATGTATGAAAAATGCCACCGGCGTGTGAGATACACAAAGGTCAAAAAGCTCACCCTGTGGATGGAAAAAGCCAACGCAAATTAGGTCTTCAAGGGAAGTGTTCACGTAGAGCACTTCGGCATTTTGATACCTCTAAATTTGTGTCTTTAGGATATTCATAGGCTCTTTTAGCTCTAAAAAAGAATATCCCACCAGAGTACGAAAAGAATCAGTAAAAAGTTGTTAAAGAGTAACTTAAAAGAAAAAATAACTGACTCTTTAACCATTTTGGGTTAGTTTTCTTTTGGTCCACCTTGTATGTAATCAAGTTCATATATAATTTTCAATAAATTGTGTACTTTAACAAATTTCCACTATAAAACTAATAAATAATATTCTAAAATTACACCCTTCAGTTACTTACATTAATCAAAATGAATTTGTCAGTGTCCAGACTGTAAGAGAAGAAAATAGAAAAAAATTATTAATAATTCACAAGAAAAAATAAGTTGTAATTAAAAATATCTAACGGTAAAGTTAGTAAGTAATACGTAGATACAAAAATTAAATAAATACTTTAAGAACTATTAAAACTATAATGTAGGAAGTTAGACTTTAAAGCGAAAATTACTTGTTAAGCTTTTTTAATATTATTCACAGGCAACTACTGCAGGTTTTAATTGTTTAATATTACTTGTTTCTTGAATAAATTTTCTTTTTTCCAACAATGCAACAACAAACGTGTATTATTCTTTAATTTTAATTTATTAAATATGAAGCAAAGCATGCAATTGTTAGACTATTAAGAATATAGAATTGTATAAATATTTATAGATTAGTTAATATTATAAAATAAATATATTGCCGCAGTATATAAGAGTTTTATTGGGAATGATGCTGTAACAAATGATTGTTGTTGTTACTATAAACTAGTTATTGCATTTGTTTAGATGACCTTGGAGACAAGTAGTCAATGGCTACTAGAGAACAATGTTCATTTCCAGCAAATATTCATGTTTGTTTTCTTTTTTTTTTTAATTTGTTTCACTCTTTATTTGTATTTCTTAATAAATTCTTATTTAATTGCTAACAGTGGGCTGTAAAATTGTTTATTTTGTTTTGATCTCCATTATCTAGAAATAACCTTCAAAGAAAACTTTATAGCAGGTTGTAAAGAAGTTGCGAAAATAAATTAAGGGGTTTCAATTGTAAACCGATTAGAAGTGTTTTAAGATAAGTTTTATTAAATATCAATTTATATGTAGCTCAGGTTTTTAAAATTTAGTTTTAGAGATCTGATTATAAATCTATAATAGAACTTAAAACTTTAAGAATCACTACCGCTATAAAACATTTTCAAAAAAAACTGTTTTTTTTTTTTAATTTATATTCCATTAAACAAATTCAAAATAAAACTTAATTAAGCAAAACGTGTGAATTAATAAAAAACACCTAATGATCGCAATGATTTTGGAGAATTAAAACATCTTTTAAAAAATCACCTTTAATTAAAAAAAAATGATTTATTTAATTTTACACAATGTAAACGTACACTTACTTGCAAAAATATGTTTCAAGGTCATTTTTCTACTTTTTATTTAAAACGCCTACCAAACATAATTTTTTCCTGCAACTTAGTTTTATAACTGTAAATATGTAATTTAAATACTTACCCAAGAACGGATTCATCATAGACTAAAGAAATTCGTAGTGGTCTTTCAACCGTACTGCGTTTTTTCCGTCTTGAATGATGTTGCTGATGATCATGATTTAATGAGTTTTCTAGCTGCTGCGGCGCATGATCAAATGAAGTCGCTGTTGTCTCAACTGTTTCGATTCGTACACCGTGAATAACCTAGAAATATATTTAAAAAAAAAACACAACAATAATGATCAAATAAAATTTATAAAAAAAATCGCACAATTGAATGATAGCGACTTGATAATCATTAAAATAATGAGTAGTGTTTTTGTTTAAACTTAATTTTGTTATTTTTTTCTTGTTTATAGTTATTTGCAATATTTTTTTTAATGTATTTTGATCAAAGTTGTACACGGAATTAAATTAAATCAAATCGTGGGGTTAATACTAAGTGGAAACTAACGACCTGAAAACACCCTTTATTGATTTTCAAAATTATTCTACATAAAGAAAATTTCGGAAAATAATAGTCTATAGTCTAGTGCATGATCTAGTCCGTAGTTTAGTCTATAGTCTAGTCTATTCTATAGTCTAGTCTATAATCTAGTATATAGTCTAGTCTTTAGTCTAGTCTATAGTCCAGTCTATAGTCTAGTCTAAAGTTTAGTCTATAGTCTAGTCTATAGTCTAGTCTACAGTCAAGTCTTTAGTCTAGTCTATAGTCCTGTATATAGTCTAGTCTATAGTCTATTCTATAGTCTAGTCTAGTCTAGTCTTTAGTCTAGTCTTTAGTCTAGTCTTTAGTCTAGTCTTTAGTCTAGTCTTTAGTCTAGTCTATAGTCTAGTCTATAGTCTAGTCTACAGTGAAGTCTATAGTCTAGTCTATAGTCTAGTCTATAGTCTAGTCTATAGTCCAGTCTAAAGTCTAGTCTATAGTCTAGTCTATAGTATAGTCTATAGTATAGTCTATAGTCCAGTATATAGTCTATTCTATAGTCTAGTCTATAGTCTATTGTATAGTCTAGTCTATAGTCTCGTCTATAGTCTAGTCTATAGTCTAGTCTATAGTCTAGTCTATAGTCTAGTCTATAGTCTAGTCTATAGTCTAGTCTATAGTCTAGTCTATAGTCTAGTCTATAGTCTAGTCTATAGTCTAGTCTATAGTCTAGTCTATAGTCTAGTCTATAGTCTAGTCTATAGTCTAGTCTATAGTCTAGTCTATAGTCTAGTCTATAGTCTAGTCTATAGTCTAGTCTATAGTCTAGTCTATAGTCTAGTCTATAGTCTAGTCTAGTCTATTAGTCTAGTCTATAGTCTAGTCTATAGTCTAGTCTATAGTCTAGTCTATAGTCTAGTCTATAGTCTAGTCTATAGTCTAGTCTATAGTCTAGTCTATAGTCTAGTCTATAGTCTAGTCTATAGTCTAGTCTATAGTCTAGTCTATAGTCTAGCGTCTATAGTCTAGTCTATAGTCTAGTCTATAGTCTAGGTCTATAGTCTAGTCTATAGTCTAGTCTATAGTCTAGTCTATAGTCTAGTCTAAGTCTAGTCTATAGTCTAGTCTATAGTCTAGTCTATAGTCTAGTCTATAGTCTAGTCTATAGTCTAGTCTATAGTCTAGTCTATAGTCTAGTCTATAGTCTAGTCTATAGTCTAGTCTATAGTCTAGTCTATAGTCTAGTCTATAGTCTAGTCCTATAGTCTAGTCTATAGTCTAGTCTATAGTCCTAGTCTATAGTCTAGTCTAGTAGTCTATAGTCTAGTCTATAGTCTAGTCTATAGTCTAGTCTATAGTCTAGTCTATAGTCTAGTCTATAGTATAGTCTATAGTCTAGTCTATCTAGTCTATAGTCTAGTCTATAGTCTAGTCTATAGTCTAGTCTATAGTCTAGTCTATAGTCTAGTCTATAGTCTAGTCTATAGTCTAGTCTATAGTCTAGTCTATAGTCTAGTCTATAGTCTAGTCTATAGTCTAGTCTATAGTCTAGTCTATAGTCTAGTCTATAGTCTAGTCTATAGTCTAGTCTATAGTCTAGTCTATAGTCTAGTCTATAGTCTAGTCTATAGTCTAGTCTATAGTCTAGTCTATAGTCTAGTCTATAGTCGAGTCTATAGTCTAGTCTATAGTCTAGTCTATAGTCTAGTCTATAGTCTAGTCTATAGTCTAGTCTATAGTCTAGTCTATAGTCTAGTCCATAGTCTAGTCTATAGTCTAGTCTATAGTCTAGTCTATAGTCTAGTCTATAGTCTAGTCTAGTCTATAGTCTAGTCTATAGTCTAGTCTATAGTCTAGTCTATAGTCTAGTCTATAGTCCAGTCTATAGTCTAGTCTATAGTCTAGTCTATAGTCTAGTCTATAGTCTAGTCTATAGTCTAGTCTATAGTCTAGTCTATAGTCTAGTCTATTGTCTAGTCTATAGTCTAGTCTATAGTCCAGTCTATAGTCTAGTCTATAGTCTAGTCTATAGTCTAGTCTATAGTCAATATATAGTCTAAACAAAAATTTCTATATAGAAAACGTTTTTTGAAATTTTTTTATAGAAACAAAATTTTCTATAGAAAAAACCGTTTCGAAAAATTTCTATAGTAATAAAATCTTTATAATTTCTATAAGGAAAAAATGACGAAAATTTTGTAGTAAACCATTAATTAAAAAAGTATTTTGGTTAATAGCCGTTTTCAAACAAAAATTTTAAATTTTATTAAAAAGAAATTTTGTCAATTGTTTTCGAAAATAAAGAATTATACAAATAAATACTTATTTATTCATTTCGTGCTATAGAGTACAAAAATAATTGAAAATTGTACTTGCATACCAATAATAATATCTACATAATGAAAACAATTTTTAATCAAATTTCTTACAAAATACTTAAAAAGGTAAAAACAAACAAAAAACAGTAAATATAAAAAAAATCATTATATTACATGAGCAACAAACCAGATAATGGGTCAAATTATTTTATGAATTTGTAATTTACAAAATAATACGTAAAAAAAATATAAAACCAAACATATTTATTTATTTATGAATGTAGAAAAAAATAAGTAACTAAATATCATATGCTTAGTTATGCTCTACAGGCGATAGTAACAAACATATTTCATAATTTTTAACAAAAAGTAGAAAAAAGTGAATTTGTAAATATGAAACTGTTAGCAGTCATACAACACATTTCTATGGTATACGGGACAAAAACCGCAAATGTTGGGTTTTGTTTTCTTATATACCACTCTCGTAATTGTAGACATACGACGACACGATTATTTGATTAAAAAAATGAGGGTGCTAATTTCTTTAAATTGTCTTGTCATCGAGTGAGTGCATAAAATAATAATTTTGGAAGAAATTATTATTTAACATGACATATTATTATAATTTATTTCCAACTAAATAAATATGTATATTTACGGTAAGATTTACTTTTCGAAAAAATACACAAATATTTACACATTTTTTTAACACGTTTGTACAGAGAGAATGGCACGTTAACACACTAATGTCACATCTAATTATTGTTATTTTTAATTGATCACAATATAGTAAGATGTAGTAGTTTCGGGTATGTTTGTTAAAAATTAGGTCGGAAAAACAATTTAACACCTGTATATAGTTACACATGTTTTTACAAAATTCCACTTTTTTCTATTTAAACATTAGTTAACAATACATTTAACAAATTGTAAAAACCTTTTAACAATTTTGCCAAAGTAAAATTGACAATTGTATATTCAAGTGTTTAATTTGTTTAACAAGGTTTTATTACATTTTACATTTTTTTCTCATTGTTGTGTGTAAATGACTAATTAATTGTGTAAAATATGATATCAGTTTCAAATGTTTTGAATTTCAAATTAAAATTGTGCAAATAAATGATTTGAGAGAAATTATGAAAAGTATATTAAAGAGAAATTAATAAAAGTATATTAAAAAATTTAAATCATTGAGAAGGCCCAAGTCTTGGTTGTCTTCCCTTAAAAGTATTGGCAAACCCTTTTTTATAGTTTAGAAGTGACAATCGAAGGACTGGAACTGAGACGTTAATGGGTTGCACCAAACAATATTTACGCATGTCGACGTGCGGGTTGTTATGATTTACACGTTTTCTTTATGTATCACGACCCGCTATTGAAAATTTATCTTGTATGAGACGCACATTCTATGTATTAAATATTCTTTACGAAATCACCTGTCCTGTTAGCCTTATTTCACGGTGTACTTTTACAACCACAGCTCCTTTGTGCTTCTTACACGTTGATAGCAATTTTGGTTCTGTCGGTCCATGTACAAGCACTCAAGTATTCGACCTACCTAAGCTCTGACCATTGCTGCGCCGTTGCGTAACTTCCGAGATACGAAAACATCGCTTCTTGATTCGGAAACAACACATCGGTAGACCGAAATACAAATCCATAAAATAAATACGAATCCAAATAAAAATAAGAAGATATTGTTCAACTCAGAATACTTCCCATTCATCTGACACACCCATTGAGAAAAATATCCGATAAACTCACTTTAGGTATACGAATGGGTGAGGCCCCCATACAGTGATGCCAGGAGATTTTTTTCAGAAATCCCTACGCTTATGAGAAAAAATCCCTTTTTTCCCTATACCCACTTTTTATTTTCCCTACATTTTTCCCTACACTACGTTCTTCCATTTTTTTCAAAGTTTATCTTAAAAAAATACAAAAATAACATCAAAAACTAAAATATTAGCTCCGTTTTATAATATACATATATGTATGTATTTTTTTTTAATTTTTAGGAATGAAATTTCTAGAATTTAAATTTAAATTTTTTTTCTTTCAATTTTACATCATACAAATCTTCCAACCCTGACTCTTCAGTTAAGATAAAAAAAAAAACAATTGAAAGATTTATGGCAGTATATCGAATCGTGATAAAAATTTATTTTATGTGCCTCCAACAAAAAAATTTTCATAAAATAATTATTTTAAATAAGGTTTACTTTTGCGTTTACTTTTTGCGGTTTACTTTTATAAATTTTCAGAATATTAAATTCATTTTTTCAATCCTGAGTTACTGCATTAAGCCCCCAACTACTCTATCTATAAGGAGTCAGAATATATCGCCCTACAGGATTGGCATAATCCAAAAAGTCGTTTCAAGAAAAATGGATATGAATATTTAATGACATTTAACTATTTTTTTAATAACTTTTAAACAAATCAAGGGGTTTTAAAAA